TTGGCTCTTTATAATATCTGTGATTTTACAGTCGTGCTTTAATTTTATTATTTAAAACAAAATTTAAACATACCTATTACATATTATATAGTTACATTTTTTTTACCATTTCCATTTTTTCAACAAATTATATTATTTAACTACTATTCTACCAACTTTAAGTGTACGTACTCACATGCATCCATTACATACATTTATACATACATACACACATACATACATACATACATAGGCGTGAGTGCGTGAGTACGGTGGCAGCTGCAGAGGCTGCATGTGTTGCCATTTTCAAAAGGAGCCGCATCCAATGTCGGCATTCAAGAAAAAATATTCATATTGTTTGAATAGAGAATAGTGATATACCAATATAATATAGATATGTTTTAAGCTTTTGGATATCTATTTTCATCTTTTTATTTTTATACAAATTGCCAATTGGTTAGTATTACTACTATTATACTGATAAAGTAATAAACACAACAATCGCTCCATTAAAAATTATTACACCAAACCTTAATATGTACTATAATATCATAAACATAAAAACAAATTAAGTAATTGATGAAAATCTTTGCTACTCTTGGGCATTCCCCGAAAAATGAGTTAGAATATCATTATTTCACCACCCCTTCTACCACTGCCCTCCATTGGTTTTATTATGAATGCGCTAACATTTTGAACGGCATTGTACATTAAAAATATATATTCTGCCTCTGTGGAAGAAGCCTATAGTCACACCTCAGTACCTCACGCCTATGCAGCATACAATATACAGAAACAAAAAGCCTAATTTTCATACTGAGAAAAATCAGTATGTAACCTACCTAAGTATAACAACTTAATCTCTATCGTATACGATTGATATCGTTTTATACAGTTATATAATAGCACGAGCTATGACGAATATCATTTTAGAAGTTATGCTGTGACGGCCACCACCGGGTGAGTTATAATAATCCTATCGTCATATTATTATTACAAAATATCAAGTATCACAATATAATAGTAATAATATTATGTGGGTTATGGTCGTCGCAAACGTGGATGTGCTGCGTAGGCGGTAGCGATAGCTGTTGGGCATGAAGTATTATAACACGCCCGTGTATAGTATGTATGTGTATAATATTATATTATTATTATTGTGATGTTCGGTTTTTTTTTCTTTTTTGTTTGTTGTCGCCGCGATTCGGCCGCGTGTGTGCAAAACACAAAATGTCGATCGATCGGCCGTCGTCGCCATCGTCGTCGCTGCTGCCACTGCCGCCTCTGCCGCCGCCACAATACCGAGTGAAGTGTTGTTCCAGACGGTGTCGGTATTGTAGGACCGCCGCGGTCGGTTATAATAATTATATTCATAATTACATTAGTCTCCGTAGATGCTGTAAAATAAAATAATAAATCGTTTTTCCGTGATAATATTTTCTAGTATAGTTTAAATATAATATATAATATCAAACTGATAATAACATAAAATCTTAAGTCACATACTAACCACCAATTTTACCTATAAAATACATATATACCTAATTATATAGTGCTTATCGTCGCGCGGCGTGTATTGGATTTCTTACCTACCGGCCGGATGAGCAAGCGGCGACGAGCTTAAGAAAGATAAAGGTAAAAGCGCGAATCCGTCAAACTGCGGTGTTTTTCGTCTGTCTAGAAGGTTTGCGCCCTTTGAGTTGGTACAATGGTACATTATAATATATACTACATAAATTATTATACTTAAACGCCTGTATAGAATAGTGTGTCGCGATAACGAGAGCCTGCGATCAGTCGTCGGACAATATATGTATAATATACTGCACAGGGAGAGGTTGAGATTTCAGACTGACAGGGGAAAATTAATATTTAGCGTCCCACTAGCAAGCCCGTGTTTGGAAAAAATACAATAGACATTAAAAAAATAAGGTTTTACGCATAATAATAGACTTTTACTTTTACTGTATTTATCATGAAATTAGTCAATAATTAAAATATTCAAATATACGTCATCCCTACCGAACTACTATTATAATAGCTACAACCTACTAGTTAGATTACTCAACGCACAATTATTGCCAATATGCCTAAATAGTATGTAGTAGGTATTCATTTTTATAACAGTATTATGATATTTTATTATTATAATTTATAATGTATATTTAACTCAGTTTTGTTGTCCGATTGTATCAAAACTACAATATTGTATACATATTTATTATTATTTATTGGTTGTTACATTACCAGTACTTTTGGCTTGGTGAATTTACATATATTTTCTACTCAAAATCTAATTAATATGTACCTATTAGTGTATTCGTTTCATTATACATAATATTTTGCACAATTTACGCACCCATTCTAAGTTTTACGTATATTAATAAATATTTTGTTACTTTTACAATATTTATTTATAAATCAAAATAAATATAATCTTAAAGCATTTTATAATATTAATACATTAAACAACGTACAAAAAGTATGATTCCGTCGTTATGCCCACTTACATCACTTTCATACATATTCAAACCTCTTGAAAAACCATTTTTAACGTACGTGGCTCACTCAAAAGATTTTGTTGAAAAAATATCTTCACTCACTCATACCTACCTTCTTCTTTTACTATATTTTATCATTTTTTACACAACTACTGGAAAATTCATAAGCTAACCTGTTAAAAGTACCATATATTCATATATCAATCTGGAGCGGTGTTGTATGAAACTTTTTGAATTATTTATACTTTTTTATCTCTCCCTTTTTTCAGAATCTTTAAAAACCGATTAATATAAATTAATTTCACAATATCATATCTAATAAATATTTAATCCACCCATATATATTACTATGCCAAATTTGCATAATTGTAGCTTTAAGTTTAAGGCTTAAACGCCCCTACCCACTACTTATTAATGCATATCGAAAAAAAAAATCATTATCAATATTACATTGGCACATTGCATATTTTGAGAAGTACGTAACGTGTGCACATATTGTATAATCTTTTTTTTTTTTTTTATCAAATCCTAGGCTTGGACGTTAGGTGTAGGTATAGATTTACAAAATGTGATTATATTTAAAAACCATGTACACAGTATACTAAACTATAATTTGATAATTATGAACCGTACAGGTGTTAAATCTGAGTTAATCGAAGATTAATGAAATATGACAGATTATAGTATAGGTAATACTAAAATTAAGTGGTATAAAATCAATCTAAAATAATAAGATAATTTGATCTGTAGGTACCTACTCAATTTATTGGGGCATAGTAAACGGTCGTGCATGATTTGACATAATGATCGTTGAATACTGACGGGGTCAGATTGACGGCAGTAAAAGCTGTGCTGTTGCACAGAGCCCCCACATACATTTTAAAAGTCCCGTGGTAACTCGATATGAATAAATTATCGGGTATTCATTTCCGGCAGTTTCATATTTTCAAGTTAATTATTAATCACTAATTTATATTCATAAGTATATGAAATTAAATTAAATAAATACATTTATTAGTTATTACTAATTATAATTTATAATACAGTATCAATTGTATTATAATATTATATAAATTATCCTTAGTTAGTTAATAATTGACTATAGAATTAATTGTTTACATGCATAAGTCATCCAGTCATCCAACTATCCGGGGTTCATTGATGGGCATAAATTCGCACTGTCACTGAGGCTCGAAAGTATACCGTCAAACACACCACTGAATAGGACAACACAAACATTTTTCACAAAGCCCCAAAATTACCAAGCTTGGTCCTGATACTAAGTATACTATTACGAGTACAACGAGTACAACACACACACAGACATAGTATAATATATTATTATATACAGTAGTGCTCTGCACGGTCCGTGTTTCCGTGAACTGGACCGGACCAGTTAATCAAGGCTTAGACCAAAACTAGACCAAACTGAATATGATTTGACCATGTGGACCGAACCGAACCGTTTGCTGTTGTTTAGCATATTGAGCAGACCGGACCAGACCATTTAGTTTTTTAACAATTAACAAACCAAACTGAACCGATTTTAATTGAAGTAAGACCAAACCGGACCACAATAAATTTTATTTTTAAATATTAGACCGAGTTGGACTGATATTATTTGATATAAAGACCAAACCGGACCAAAACAAATTGTTTTTATTTATAATATTATATATTTATTATTTATAACAGTTTTTTCCATAATTCAAAAACTTTACTAAGATTAAGTTAATTTTTCTTATGTAGCATAAAACTATTGTCATAATATGAATTTTCTTCTCATTTCAATATTGTAACCATTATATTATTTTGTACCCTCATAGGCTCAAATACGGGGGGCTTAGCTGAGCCCCCCCCCAAAAAAAAAAATTTGATTTATATTGATCAAACTTTGATTTATACAGGGATAGCCCCCCAAAGTCAAAAACTGAAATTGCGCCAATGTGTACCCAAGTAAAGAATGTGAACCAACATTGTTAGACTAGGTCAAACTATTCATAAAACTTGTCCATCAACACTAAATAGGTATTTTAGTAATTTTGATACTGTAACAAAAATGTTACAAATAAATTTGAAAAAATATATTAGGTACCAGTTTAAATAAATATAATTTTACCTATTATAGAAGTACTATAAACCAAATAAACAAACAAGTTACCTTACTCACTGTAGACTCGACAATACAAATAATTGCTATTTAGAAATTCAATTTTTAAGGTGCATATGAATGTAAACTATTTAAAAAAAAAAAATAATTAATGATGTATTATGTACTCATGTCTCACGTGATAGTATCATAGTTGTATTAGTTGTATAGATATACTTATATAGATATTAACTATTAAGAACAACAATAGTTACTTTAAATTAAGATATTTATTTATAAAACCACTATAAATACTGATAAGACTTAATAATACTATTACTATTCAACTATTCATTTTATACAATCTTAATGAAGGGAACAATTAACACTTTTATTTGTTTCCTTATAGTGTTAGTGGCCAAAAAGATTAGTTAATTTTGAGAGTAAAAACTGTTCAAAAACAATATGGCATCAACTGTTGATCCGTCCAGACAACTTCTACGCTCTTCAATCACTCTACCAGCTATACTGAAAGATCTTTCACTACTTGCACTAGAAGCTGGTGTAGCTAGTATCTGTCTTGCCAGTTTTGATAAATATGGATATCTTGACATTTTTTTTGACCAGAAATCTAAAATGTGATCATCACCAACATCAAAAATTTCTTCTCTATAATCTTCCAACTCTTTTTTAAACTTGTACTGTGGAAGATCATGATCTCTTAGACTGTCTTCCCATTCGGAAAACATGGATGATGATGATGGTCTGTTTGAGTCATCAAAGTTACTTGGTATAATGGTATTGATATTTAATTCTTGGTCTCTAGTTTCCATCTCTAAAAGCTTTTTTTCAATATTATTTATTATCCGAGAACGGTCACCAGAGTCTTGGGAAAACATTTTCAGCATTTTGAATTTGGGCCAAAGAAATACAGCGATTTCATGTTCCTCGCTCAGTTTGAATTTTAAGTTTAAAATCTCCAATGCCTTTTCTCCTAATTTATGCATTATATAATCAATATTTACTTCAACATCATCATTTGAAAGATTATTTTCAATGTTGGTATATTTTAATAAATGATTTTCAATTAGACATTTATATAACACCACTTTCTGTATAGTTGGATTTTTGTCCCCTTCGAGTTCATCAGAAGCATTTTTAAATAACTTCAAAAATTCAATGAGACTTTTTAGAAGTTCGGTATTTATATTTTGAATACGACCAAAATATTCACCATGAATTTGTATTATTTCAGGTAAAGATTTATAGACGGACTGTAACATAAGTAAACGTGTATTCCATCTTGTTTCAACCTCTTGAACCAAAACCATGGATAATTCACTGTTCTTTCCTGAACTTTTCATGAATTTAACAAGAGTTTTGCACTCAGTCATTAAGTTTGTTATTGGCTCCAAGGGCTTTGATCCATTGTTATTTTCTTGTTGCAAAAACTTCAAATCAAAAACATTTCTTAAAACTGTATTTATCAAGTGTGCACAACAATTTAAACGATTATAATTTCTAAGAGCACTGATCATATTCGATCCCTGATCAGTGACAAAAGTTATGTACTGCATTAAATCCGAACCATCATTTTCGTCGGCATCTTCTGATAACTGGGTAAAAAAATTACTCATAAATTTTTTTATATTTTCGCCAGTTTTGGAATCTTGTGATGGATATTGGCCTGTGTACAGAAGACGATTATTTAAAACCCAATTTTGATCTATATAATGTAGTGTTATAGACATATAATTATTTTTTTTGTAATTGTCTGTCCACATGTCGCAAGTTGAACTACAATAATTATTTTTTATCAGACTGTAGATTTCAGAAAATAACTGTTTCCTTACATCAGTTGTTGTTTTTATAATATGCCTTGAAACAGTAGTCGGATGTGGTATAATATCATTTATATTTGAAACGCCATATTTAGCACCAACGTCCAAAAAAAATTGGGCGATTTCAAGAAAACCTTTACCTTTGATTGCCAACATAGGTCGTAAATCTAAACTACAATACTTGACACATTTCTGGATTGCTTCATCTTTTACTCGTGCTGGCAGAATTTTGCATTTGTTGTTAATCAATTTTCCATACACTTCAATGGGATTCTGAAATGTATTTTTCGTACATTTATGTCGTCGGAGAGTAGCTGTACTAGATTTTTTAGCATAAAGCTCCTTACACAAAGGGCAAGCAACAAAATCAGTGTTATTATGATCAGGAGAATCTGGATCTTCAGAATAAGAACTATTATGCATAACCATTTTAAAATTTTTCCAAACTGCACTTTTGCCACTATGTGGAACAAGAATAAATTCATCACTGCCACTCAACAACTTACGTTTTATAGAACTTTTCGAATAATTCAATCCAGAAGACTGAGCTTCGATTGAAGGTGAACCAATAGACGATACAGTAGTAGATGCAAATGAAATATCTTCAGATGAATTGTCAACCATGGTTTCGTTTAATATTTGTGTACTTGTACTTGGCTGTGCAAAGTCCAATGAGTGTTCAGAATGTGATATTGGTGAAACTGATCTACTGCTTGAATCCAACATATTTCTGATGAATTGAGAATTATTCATGATCTAAAAAAACGGTATTAGTTAATAGACTGAATTTGTATACAATGTTAAAATAATAATTATTTTTCTAATGTTATAGATGTACTTTAAAAAACAAAACATAAAATTATACCTAATTTATAAGATTGACACATTGCATAATTTAAACCACAAAAAATATAAAGTTAAATCAGTAGTAATGTACTAATATATTAAATTGTCATGTATTAGAATTATAGACACAATGCTCTAGTTTCTTTGATTTACATAGAACTAAAATGAAACTTGAATGAAAAAAATTAATAATCCATGCATGTTTAATAAGAAAATAGGTAGTAAAACATTTTTACTTAATAATGTTTAAGGCAGTATAATAATATGTTGATTGTAGCTACTAAAAAATCTATTTTTTCTTCTTATGAGAACAAATAATACTAGTTTTAAAATGGTTAACAATTACAAAGTACAATTAATATAATATAAACACTTTTAGACGAATTTATATTATGTTAAGCATAGGTACTCAATTCTTAAAAACATTACGGGAGGTAATAAAGGTAAAAAAAAAATGTAACTTAACAATATTGAGAATGATGTTATTAATAAAATTGTTAAGATATTATACTATTTTATGTATTAAAAAATGTAAGTAATTGTTAGGTAGTTGCATACTTGGTAAGTATAGTGAATTATTCGTTAACAGAAATATTTTAACCTACATTTTAATACAGGACCTAAGATAATGTTATTTAGTGTACTACACTATTACTTGACACGGTGACACAATGTACACCCTAAGTCCCTAAAAAACCAAGTGTGCAGTCGGAATTACATATGCTTGTACAATTGTATTTGAATTTGAATTTTATAAATAACAATAATTTCAAATATCAATAGTCAATACAATTGTATTATCATTTGTTTCGGTCTCAATTTAAATTATAGTTTGTTAAAATATCAAAAGCGTTAACCACATAATATAAGTATAAATTATTTATGTAATCAAAATATAAAATGATCTTAACCATGTGCGATCTCAGTCATTAAAACGTTTAACATTCAAATTTGAATCCAGGTGAACCAATTTTATGTTAGTATTAATATTAGCATGAATTGATCTATTATCAGATTTAAATGTAAGAACATTTTCTCATAGGTTATCAAATGATTGAAACCATAGGTTTTTATTGATATATTAATTTTAAAGCTGGTTATAAAAATATAAAATATTACAACTTAAAAATAATTATAACTTGATTGAAAATTAAAATTTCACCTATAATAAACAAGGTGTACTACTGTCTACTAGATAATGTTCTTACCTTTAAATGAGGTTAGAAAGTTAATTTATTTTAATAATAAAGCTTACAGTACAAAATTGGTTCGGCTTAGTCCAAATGTTGTATGTTGTATATTTTTTTTAAGAGACAGATACTACACAAATAGGTACCGGTTATGATCTTAAAATAAATGTTTTGAACTTTTACTTATTTTATTATTTTTATTATTTATTTCAACTTTATTTTATTTTTAAAATGTTAAGTTTATATTTTTTATGAATATTTAAGTCAAGTTATAGTGTAGGTACCTATAAAAGAAGATTTGGTGAAAGTCCCCCCACGTGTACTTTTGTATGGATATCTACAGTCTTGTAAAATATTTGAATATTATTCTAAATACTTTAAAAAAAATTTATTTAAATACGTATTCTAAATATATTTTATTTTATATTTCAATACTTATGTGTTAAAAAAATTTATTTGTGTATAAGATTATAATTCTGGCTGAGATAGAATGACTGTCGACTGATGCAAATTTCAAGAGTCATAATAGTTAAATGTAATAAAATGCCAATGTATAACAATTCATAGGCGTGCGCACAAGGTATGCGCTTGCATACCCTGCAGTTATTTTGTGGTGACATGAACCAAGTCTCAGTTCATAATTTCAGCTGGTTATAAATGATAATACAATATCGATATGAACTTGTTTTTAAATTCACACCTGAAGTTAAAAAAAGAAATTTTGTGTACGAGCATTTTAAAAACTGACTTTTGTCAAATCAAAATTAAGGTCATAGAACAACACACTGCTACTGAAATTGACATAAGATGTGATTGAACAATTTTAAATCCTTATACCAGGAATAAGAAGGCTTGAATTATAAAAATGATATTATATAATGTAAATTTTAATTTCAATAAACATAATATGTCTATAGAAAAATACTTTTATTTTGCAGTGAAAAAAAGATGGAAAACCTATTATTTTCTAATAAGAAGTAATAACCAATAAATCTTATTATTCAATAGCATGTGCATTAATTTAAGGAGCATTTATATCTTTGCTGGGTACTGGGTAGGGCACATTTAATCAGCCGCATACCCTGCAAACAAAGTCTGCGCACGCCTATGTATGACATCAATAAAATGTACCTATAAGTAAAAAAATATTAAGATTTTTAATTGATATAATATAATATTGAGTATGATTAATTTGATGTTTGACTATAATAATTTGTTTTTATTTAATTTACAAAAAAATATAAAACTTATTTAAAAATAATATTCTCAAAGCATTTTAATAATTTTTTAAATACCTATTCAAAAATGTATAGTAAATATTTTTGGAAATTATTCAAATATGTAGGTATTCTGAACACAAAATAATAGTATTATTAACAAGACTGGAAATCTACCAATTTATAGGTAGGTACCTAATAATTTAATTTAAAACTATATACACTGAAATCAAACAAGTTTTAGGATTTTAGATCATATTATATTTGATGTATTATAAATGTATCTACATGTGTACTTAGTTAATTAATATACAGTTTATAATATTATGTGACCAATAAAAATATTACAGTGGTGGTTAATTAATAATTAAATAGGTAGGTACCTATGCAAATTCGAAAGTAGTTAATAACATTGTTAAAAAAACATTCTTATACAAGCTCAAATCTTATTATTTCATTAAATGTACAATATAATATATTAGTCACATAACGACTGACAATAAACACAATATTGTAAATTTCAAATTATGTACCTACCTATTACCTAATAGGGTAGGTAAGTATTTACTTTTTAGTACTCACCAAAAATTTCAAAATCCTGTATATATCAATGGCACTGTATTTGAGTATATCACGTATTCACGTCACAATCGTAAAATGATATGAAAATTGAATGCCGACAGTGTTCTGGATTCCTGGACGCGAATAGGCAAATGGCAACCGGGTCACCGTCGTCGGTCGTCGATGTCGATCGGTAAATTAAGATAACAATAACAATTCGATACTATTCTAAATTCTAATCTTAAAATAGTTGTTTATATATTTATAAGATTCTATAGATATATTATAATAATATATTATAGTTCGTGGAATTGACAACTATACGTAACGTCATTATACGATTTTATATTTATAGGTACCCTGGTGGCTGCCGCGTGCTGTTTATACTTTATGCCCCTATTTCAATTATTTGTTGTTGTTATACAAGTTCACCTCTATACCGTAATTATTATTTATTCTTGGAAAAATAGAGAGATAAAATGTGTCGGAAATTTAACATTTTATAAAATGTATAATATTATGTAATATGTATAATTCTTTCTAAATATAAAATCGTATACCTACGGCGGAACCGGGACCGAAGACCGGACCAATACCGGAACCGGTATCAAACCTGGACCAGGACCGAGTTGAAATTAAATATGAATATTTTATTCGACCGAACCGAACTGTTAAACAAAATATATCTGTTGAGACTAGACCGAATTAATTTTTAAATTTATGGAACTAGACCGAACCAAACTGTTTCTTAATTTTATTTCATAGGACTGGACCAAATCAGACCGTGGTCCGGTCCGGTCCGGACCGGACTGATTAAGACCGGACCATGCAGAGCACTATATACAGTGTAAGTATAAGTACACACGGTACAAACAAATTGGTCGTGCAAACTGTTTGTTTTCCGAAGACGAAATGGCTACACCGCGGTACTTACGCGGGTTTCTCGTTGTTGACACTACGTGATGTTTAAATACTGCAACCGCGAGGCATAATATATATGACAATACAATTTAGGTATAACGATAATAATTTTTAGTGTTTTGGCGTGACGTATCTATACATAGACGTAATAATTTATAATTTATAAGCCTTCTAATGTTGTACGCATACCGCGTTGTATAAAATCGGAAGTGTACCCACTATAATATAAGTACCTAGCCACCTAGGTAGTAATACCTATATTAGATACCTATATTCTATAATTATCATTACGGATCTGTGGAGAATACAACAATAAATTATACTATTTTAATGTTTATAAGATGAATCACACAATGCGGATATAACATAATATTATCTCCTACATAATTATACATCATTCACATAAAATGTCTGCTAAGAGCACGTTGGTATTCGAAATTTAAAAATAATCACAACTAGATCTCATATTTAAATATTTCAGTATGTGACTATACCGCTACTATAACCAACACATAATCTGACTTTCTCTGTCCTCTATAAACTTATTATAAAAGAATTATATTCACGAACTCTAAACTTATACTTTAGATATCTTGTTACCGATGAACGCATGCGTCCATGCCACATGTTTTGAACTCTTCGTCTCTACTAAATAAGATAAATTTTCGGTTCTTTTATCATCATGATATAATTCAATTTCCAGTAACTCATTTTTAAAATGTATTTATTTCAGAAGTCTTTTGTTGTTTATACATACCTACAGAACAAATAAATACATTCGATGAAATTCAACCTACAACTCGTTTGTTTTCGAAACTCTGATTGTTTTTCGGTGCGTCTTTACATTTTCGTGTGCACATTAAAGTAAATACTTATATTATACGAACATAGTAGGACCTATATGGCTATATATAAGTTTAATGTAAAGTATTTTATTATGTAAATCTACCTACTTGTATAGTCCATATGTTCGTTATATATTGCATTGTATACGATTCACATACTAATCTTGTAATAA